CCCGTACCCGGCCGGCCGGCCGGTTCGCGGTTCAACCGGTTGAACCGGCTGGTCCGTTTCGATTTTAAAAACGTTGCTATAAATATGAATTATTTAATTATTTAAAATAAATGATCTAATTTGACCTCAATAATTTATAAATGTAAAATAATAATATGAATTTAACATATAAATTATATATAAATATATAACATAAATTAAGAATAATTTATATTAAACTTATTAATTCTTTTGTAAGTCAATTTTTTGTTAAATTTAAATTAAATTTAAAGAATGAATATGTTTAAATTTAAACTTATATAAGATATTAGTAATGTGTGAATTTCAATTTATTTTTTAATAAAAAATTTATATTATTATATGATTTTTATGTCATCTAAATTTTATTCATTATGTCATCCAGTTCGACCGATTGAACTGTGAACCGCTCCTTCTACTGGTTCATTATCCAGTCTGATTTTCACAACCTTGCATTCTTCCTTTATTTGTTAGATATAATTTTAAATGTTAATGAAAGAATATCATATATATAGCATGTAAATGTAATTCTAGGAAACACTAAACATGTGTAAAATGGATTATCCACAAAAGGAAGTGTAATTGAAGCTATTTATTTATAAACACGTCACAGTATTTTTTCTTCTAATTACTGTGTCCACAAATTCTCAACTTTCAACTTAATAGTCCCAAAATTCAGCATAGCAAATCTAAAATTGATTCCAGATCTAGTCAACCATTACATACTTTCACCACATTTGGACTTAAGCCGCGATACATCACTTCCTGTGAAATGGTGAAAAATAAAATAAAATAAAATAAAATAAAGGAAGAAAACAAAAGAAAGAGAGCAGAAAACAAATCCTTAAGATGTAGATGTGGAAACCTTAATATATCAGATTGTTGAATCTTTACAGCAAGAAAACGAGAAAGAAAAACAAGGGCTTCCTAAATTCCTCATTGAATTCATCATAACTTGAATAATCAAACAAACAATTAATATCTATACATAAGTTCATATGCATAAAGGAAATGAAATCTCAACTAAGGATAGAATTATCATTATCAATATTATATTAATTAAGGAAAATAAAAAATAGAATAAAATATTGTCCTCCAATTAGATGGAGATGCTTAAAGAACATTAATAAAAATACTTTTTTGAGTAAAATTCAATATAATATTGTCGTTGTCAGGTCCCAAGTCCTGGATGAGAAAAGTGGATGATTGTGTTAGGTAGTCAACAATCAGCATTAAACTTGTCGAATAAACATGACATGAATCCTTTAATACATTGTGTTAATACTAGGGTGCTCCCTAGAAGCAACGCGATGTATGACCTGAATACAGTGACAAGTGAGCAAAGGCCGCTGCACCGAAGTTTGGAAACATCCATGCGAGCTTAGAAAGCAACAAGCAAGATGATTATTTGTTGGTTTTGTGCTCCAACAAATGAGGTTGATGACTTAAATTTGATTCTAAGCTCCAATGATTCGTGTAACATAACATTTAGAGCATTAGGAAGGATCCAAAATGTCACACATGAGGGAAAATGAAACTTGAAAGAGAGCTCCTTTTTTTTTTTGAGTGTTTTGGACTCATTTAGATAGAGGAGATTGATTCCTACAACTTTTAAAAAGTTTAAGTTCAATTTGATGTGATCTAAGGAACCTAGAAGTGCATGCATGTGTAGGTGATTTATCAATTTGGTGTGATCATATGCTTAAGTTACTTGTCATTGCTCTCAATCTTTCAACTTGCAAATTGCATTAATCATGCTTAGATAATTTCAATGCATGGTGGGGTATGATCTAAAGGTCTTTAAAGGCCATAAAATACTCCACCCTCGCTTTTAAATGTACTTACAAATTAAATAAAGATATTTGTGAATTTGCAAATCTTGAGTATGCAAAATCTTGGCAAATGACTTATAACATGCATTCAACCAAAGTTTGACTGATGCAACCCAAACCAAACAACTTAGTTTGATTAAGTTTGTGGCCATTTAAATGGGAATTATTCATCACTTCAATCTTCTAAATTTGGAAAAAATATCAAGCATAAATCCAATCAATTTTAGTTGTCATAGGATTTGAAATATAAACATGAAAGTTAAAGAAAGACCCCACTAGTTGCTTACAAGCTTTGCAAATTAATTAGAACTCATTCTTGAACATTTAGCAAATTTAGAGGAAAAACACAAATGTCATAGCTAAGCAAGCCTCCCATATCCTTAAGTTAACCTTGGCATAACTTGTGATTTGGTAAAGGAGTAGCGCATGCTACACAATGTGAAATCATACACTTTATCATTCAAGTTGTGACCAAATGACAACGTCTAGCCTGGGGTTTGATCATAAGCGAAGGATTGGACACAACATGAATATATTGCATGCAAGATAGGTGCATTGGACACAAGTCCAACGACTTGGCGCCTCGCCGCCACCCTCTTTGGCTCTAACATGAAAGCAAATCATGAGAAATCATCATATTTCCACAATTTGACTAAGAGGACAGCGAACATATGATTCAATTTGGGGTTTTGGAAAGCAAAATGCAAGGTTTCTATGGACCTAAATGAGTGTCATACACACAAACAAAAGGCTTGGAGACCTATGTTTTCTAAGTTTGAGGAATTTTAACTCACCACAGCGAGTCACAGTGTGACCGAAAATGTTCTCTCGCCTTGCAAAGGCGAGATGGAGGAAGAGGCTTGCTATCCAAAGCGCTCCGGACATCGTCTGCGCTATCACGAGCTTGCCAGAGTTGACCTTTTGAGCTTGATAACCTCCAAAATCAGCTAACAAGAGGAAACAAAGTGTAGGAAATGGAGGTAGACAGCAGCCCAACCACACAACAATCTTATGTTCTCTATTTGGAGGAACAACAGCAGCAAGGGAGAATTTTCCACTGGATTGAATGAGAAAAAGGAGAAGGTAGCTGTAGGAAATGGAGCTCTCCAGTCACATAATAGCAACTCTGAACTTCGATCCTCACCATCGCACACAAGGAGTTCAAGTCCTTATCTCCTTCACTGGTTCGACCTCAAGCACGCGCAAAAGGGGCTCCCAAATCTAAACGACCCAGCTAGATTGCACGCATATGACTTTCCTTGCTCCGTTCAACTCAGACGCACGTACGCAAGACCAGATGCTCGGTCTCTCTCTCTCAGGTCACAAGCAGGAGGCCCGACTAAGCTCCCTCTCACACGCTCGGTTGGACAAACGGGCCACACAACAGGAAGAAAATAGTCGCTATAAGACGCTCTCCCTCTTGGTTTTGGGCTGGACACGCGTAGAGGACCCCCCTTTCACTCAGCCTAGATACACGCAAGTAGAAGAAAATCGAAGAAGCCTCCTCCCTCACGCGCTCTACTTTGTAAGACTCAACCAGATAACCAAGTGAGTTGATAAATGCTACTTATAATTCAAATTTATTGATTAATTATTTGTTAAATAGATTAATATTAAATAGATAAATTTAATGTTAAATATTTGTTACATTAATAATAGAAAATAAATGGATTATGTAATTTCAGTTAAATAGGTAAAATTTTTATTATGAATAAATGCATAGTTTGGGTAAATAGCAGTTATAGCTTGGGGCCCACTCTCCTAACCTTATCTACTTTGGATAAGTGTTGTTACGGCATGAGAATAAAATGGGAGAGAAAAATGAAATGCAGATTTCACGGAATAGAGGGAGCCGCTGATTTTTTTGTTCCTTGTCGAAGGCATACTGGCGGAGACAAAGATCCTGTAGCAAGGTTCGGTAGAGGGAGGCGGGACTGTAGCTTTAATCGGCATAGTATTTCCAGTGCTGTAGCAAGAGGCGGGAGTGCAGGAAGTGTTCGGCATAGTGCAGATTTCACTATACTTGTTTCAACATAGTGTATAAAGTATTGTAGCGGCATTAGGTGAGGCTTTGACCAAGTGATCTCACGAAATTGAAGAATTCTGCAGCAAGACAGGTAAGAAGCTTGTAGACTTTTTAGGTTTAAGTTGAATGAATAAGTACTGAACAACAACAATTGGGAAATCTATGTTTTGCAGAGAAGTGTAGTTGAATAAATGGTTGAATTATAGAAATTTGGAGAAAGAACAGTAAATTCTGTGAAGGAATAATCAAAAAGATAGAAAAATGTAAGAATTATAAATTTCCCTTATCTTGTATACTAGGTTCAATTTAGTATTGTTCTTATGCAAATCATAATTTATGGTGATATAGATTATATAAGCTTATGCAAAGAGGAGGCTTTGAAGTGACTTATAATAGAAGAGGAATAAGAAGGGAAGGTTTGGAAGAAGCAAATCGTCGAGAAGGTAAGTAATGCAAATTAAAAGTATATTGAATATGTAAATTCTTATTACTTTTGCATTATATATTAGTAGTTGAATGAATGCACGAGAAATTTGTGTCACAAGTAATTTTCTGCTAAAGGATGTTCCTAACCTAGTTTCCATATATGAAAGACCTCTTATATATTTTAATCATGAGACTTCCAAATAAGAGTTGTTATGTTTCATTAAAGATTTTACTAGTCGGAAAGATTTTGAAAAGAATCTTCATTCTTAACATATGGTACATAGTTGCATATAAAGATCTTTATGAAAGCAACAATACAAGTATGAGTTATGTTATAAAAGTATATTGAATATCAATTTAACATAAAGTTTGGCTATATGTATATGATGTATGATTTACAAGGATAGTTGGGACAAAAGGGTTCCCAAATATGTAACTACCTTATAAGAGGGGCAAAAGAGACCCCAAAAGAAATGATACCTGCATAGCAGGTGGGGCAAAAGGGACCTCTATGAAATTCAATGGCGATAATGCCAGGTTTTCCTGGGCTCCATTGAATTTATTTATGAAAGAATAGCCAAACATTTTAATGAGAAAATTGATATTCAGTATGGATCTAAGATAACAGTTAAAGGTAATGTCAAAAGAAATGTTTTGTAGTTTCTCTAGTAATTAATTTTTTTATTCATGTTTTACTGTTTCAAATTTTCTATTTATAACTGCATAATTTACTGGGCCTCACAGCTCACCAGTATTTTCATTACTGGCTGTTGTTACAGGAAAAGGAAAAGAAAAAGAAAAAGTGGAGGAAGATTGATAAGCAAGTATTTAAGTTTTATATCAATGTTTATTTAAATTGTGAAATCTACTCTTGAGGTTAGTAAACTTGTTTAATGTTGTAATACTTTGAATTATTTTGGATTTCATTAGTGGCTCTGTATAAAGTCTTGGATGTGATGAAATTTGGAGAATTATTAGATGCTTCCTTTGTTATTCCAAATAATGTTTATATGATCTTTTATTTAGATATGAAATCAACTCAACAGAAATGAGAGGTAAATGATGGAAATGTTATAATGATTATTGTTACACTCTACAGTACAATATAGTGATACTATGGGGTGTTACATACTCTCTCTTGTTCGCTTGGGGACACACGAAGCAGAAGGGGAGACCAACCCCTCTCCCTCTCTCTATATACCTGAAATGAAGCACACCCGCTCGATTTGATCTTCTACTGCAAGATATGATCTCTTGTTAGACGATCCCTGCTAAAGCTGCATAAATCAATAGGAAAGGGAGAAAAGACCAGCAACCAACTGCTCTTTGAATTTCAATCGTTGGATTTGATTTCCAAATTAGAATGAGCTCAGATTTGATCAATTGGGCTGATTGGGTTTGAAATTGAGCCCATTCGTCTCGATTTGAGCTTGATTGGTCCAATAGAGTCAATTTGATGAGATTATACTCGAATCGGTACCGATTTGAGTCAAATTGGGTTCGATAGAGTTCGATTTAATTCGATCAAATCAATTTAATGAAATTGGACTCGAATTGATTTAATTTGGATTTGATTGAGCCTAATTGGATTGAATTTATGTCCGATTTGAGTCGATTTAGGTTTGACGGGGTTGATTTGAATTGATCGAAACCCGAATGGGTTTGGTTTGACACAATTTGAGTTAAGTCGACATGAAAAATGCATCAACATGTGGAGCATCATCACAGGAGCAGATCTATCAACAATAGAATATATTTGATATTCTTACATTTTATAGTAGGTCATTTCTGTTTTTGCTTTTGAGGGTTGGATAGTTTCCTTCCTATTATAATTTCTTTTAATGGTAATAATATTATTGTGTTGGCGTACTATCATTTAAATTCATACTAATGAAATGACAATTCAATCTTTCTTTCATTATTTATTCTAATATATTATGTTATATTATTTGTAATTTTGTATATGCACTTTTTTTATAAGTATAAAACATATATTTTATCCTTTATTGCATCCTGTGTTGTCGAGGTGCACCGCCTTCCAAACCCAGTTGTGACAGTGAAGGCTATTATCTTATGCATATTTAATCATGGTAGCCCTTTTAAACTCTAATCTTCTCTTTTTTGTGAGAGAATTAACAACATAAATTACAAAATTCATAAAGATAACACAAATAAGATGGAATAAGACGAAGGATGATGATAACATACCATCAAACTCAAATTACGCTATTAGACTCCTTAAATAAAGAACGTATAGCCATCCCCCAATTTGTGTTGCTTTTTACTTAACAGCTGTTTTCCTCTGAACATGTTATGATCAGTCTTTTACCTTACCAATTATAACTTCTACTTATCCAGCATTTCCAGTTAAATTCTTTAAAGTCTATATAAAAAATATAATGAAAAATAGCATACCTATATCATAGAGCAAACCATTCTACCGGATATAAAAGGATTCCCTTAGACATACCTAAGACATAAGAAACCAAAGCGGTGTAGTGCATAATGAACATAGCTTAAACACTAATGAGATATGAGTAAATAGATTAGAGTAAGTGCAACAAGGCATTCATCAAGAACAACAAACTACAACAAGGATTGAAATAACGAAGCATGTACCTTTAGGCGAAACTATACGTGTTCTCCATGCAAAAAAGCAAGCGCTTGAAAGAGAAATAGAAATTGGTGAAGTTGAAAATCCCCCATTATCCGAAAGAATAATAGATGCAGAGCGTTCATTGAATGGGAGCTGCTCAGCCAACGCTGCAAACCTTACAAAGTAGTTAAAATAGAAAAAAAAAAGGTATTAATTGATGAAAGAGGTGTAAGAGATTAGATTGGTACTTGAATAGTTTGAGAAAACCAAGCAGAAGAAATATAAAGTATAAAAAATGAAATAAACATTAAATACGTGTCATTGACTCAATACAAGCTCACAAGATACAAGCCAGTCAATACTAAAAGAGATATTTAGGGTATAGAGTGAGATTTGCATAGGTTGTACTATTAAAAGGTTAAATGGATGCTACTTTTTCACTTGAAAAGGTACGGATTAGCTCTGCATCTCGTAGATAATGTAAAGAGGTATAATTTGAAGGCATCCACCCCCAATGTTCCTTTGACACAAGCATTTCGAATGTTTTAAAGCTCATTTGAATCGCAAAATATAAAATGTCGAAACACGATAAGTTCAATTTTTTATATGCCTCTCCCAGAATTGCGCAATTGCGCCTCTGAGGCGCGCCTCAGTCCAGGTGAGGCGTACGCCTCATCCAGGTCCAGAATTGCGTAAGCCTCGAGGCATTTTTTGGTTGAATTGCGCAAAGGCGCGCCTTGAGGCGCGCCTCTAATTGCGCAATTTTAAACCATGATATAATTGCACTGTTTTAATATAATTGCACTGCACTTCCACGCTTCTTGAGATGAGCAAAATTTAAATTCATTTTTATTTTAACATGTGCAACATTCTCATGCATGAAATTTTAGACGTGTATTTGTCGAAAAACATGTGAATGAGTTTATCTCAATGATTTGATATATTGTGCATGCATTTCAATGCATTTTTATATTTTTCAAGTATTTGCACATTACACTTGCACACTTTTCAATGTGTTTAGACTATGAGCTAACACATTTTTAGTGTATTTATATGCTTTTTAGTGCATTCACACAACATTGGAACAACGCACAAAGGTGCTTAATTTTGAAAATCATGTTATAACTTGCCTGTTCGAGGTGACGGTTGATGTAACCAAAAGCTCCCAAAATTAGTAGGAGACCCTTGGTCACAAAAAAGAAACAAAAACGTTCCTTATAATTTAAAATAAAAGGACAAACAACACTTCAAAAACTTTTAAACATAACATGACATTTCAAACTTATGACATAAATATATCTAAAGAAGCTTTTCCTGATCGAGAAGAAAGATACAAATGAGGTGGATACTTGCGGAGAGAAGAAAGAGATAAGAAGCATGAGATGAAGTTGAAGAGATGAGAAGCTCACAAGCTTTCCCAACAACAAGAAGAGGAATGGAACAAGCTCGCAAGCTTTTCCAAGAAAACCCGCAGGTTTTTTGCTCCAAAAATTCTCACATAATCTCTCCTTTTATCCACAAAGCATCATATATTTATAGGAGAAATGGGGCAGCCAAATAGCCCAAAATATCTCCAACCAAACTAATTAAAACAGAGGAAAACAGAAGGCCAAGGGGCAGTCTAGAAGCAGCACCCGAAGAGCCACATAGGGAACCAGAAAGGCATCCACGAGAGACAGGAACGGGCACCACAGGGAGCCGGAACAAGCAGCCACGGGAAAAGGAGCAAAGTGGGGGAAACTGAAGAGCCAAGGGAAGGGGGAAAGAGGGGGAATGAACCAGAATTTGCTCATTAATCTCAGAATTAATGAGTTGGGGCCTACCAGCTCTCCAAAAACAGCAAAAAAATCGAGCAGCCAAGTCTAAACCGAGAGGCCAACCTCAGCCAAAACTTTGGCACATGTGAGAAAGAGAGAGAGAGCAAAAGATAAAATTAGAGAAAGAAAGAACCATAGAGAAAGGCAGAATTACAGAAAGAACGAAAGAGTTTGGCCAAGGTCGGGCAGTCAAGCTTGTAATCAGCAAGGCTATTGATGATTTTGGAGGTGGAAGTATAGATCATCAATTTAGGGTCCATCAAAGATAAGAGTTGTGAAGGTTGCCGCAAAATTTGGAGTTGTGGCGATGTGCCACAAATAATACTAACCGGCAAGTTAAGAGTCAAAGTTAGCTATATCATAAGAGAATGAGATGGCAAAAGGTGAAAGGAGGGTGGGGTGGTGGTGGATACTTGCAATCTCAGAGCGACAAAGGGGAGGTTGGTGGCTTCATTCTTAGAGATAGAAAGAGAAATTAATATATATGTGAAAAGGTTGGAGAAACTCCAGTGACAGATAAGATTAGAAAGAGTAGCCTTAGTAGACACAAAAAATGTTAGCCTTCTGATGACCCAATTAGGAAAGCACATATATTTAATTTGACCTATATTAATAAAGTGAGAGATAGAACTAAAAAGACTTGGCTAGAAAATATTAAAAAGGATATTTTTTTATTAAATTTAAATGAGAATTTGACTCTTAAGATGACACAACGGAGAAAAATGATTCATTTAGCTGACCCCATATAGTAGGATAAAGACTTGTTATTGTTGTCGTATGTGACAAAGGATTAGCAAGATTATTTTTATTTTAAATTAGTTATTTTTTCTTTTATTGATTCCCACAAAGTTTGTCGTTTGCCCATCTAGAGTTGTGACGTTTCTCACGCGCGGGTAAACTTTTAATTTCACTTCTTGAGCGATGGATGGACCAATATGGGTTTTTTTGTTGGGTAATTTTAATATTTCGAAAGTATTGATGCATCCATTTTGTGAGCAAGTTTATGCTTTTGTTGTTCGTCACCTTTGTCGAGTGACAACTTGTTGGCACTGGGGTCTTTTTTGGGAATTTTAAGCATCCCAGATGCATTAACATGATCCATTTTAAGAAAATAGCGACGGTTAAGCAATTTTTACATGGCTTCACCATCCATCACTTGCCACTTTCATCACATTTGATTAAATTGATCACGGAGGTCCTTGGTAATTTTAATGCTCCGTATGTATTGGCAAAGTTTATTTCATGAACCAAGTGATGATCGATGATTTCAATTAGTATTGGGCATTTGATTAATTTTGTGCAATGCTAAATCCAATTGTCATTAACGTCGACTTTGACTGAGACTAACTTGTTTTGCCTCCACCCATATAGGTAGGTCAAAATATCAATATTGCCAACTCTATTGCTTGTTCCTAAAATTATATTGCTGTTATTGTTCCATAAAACTTCTGAATTTAGTAAATAGAAAGAATCATTAACACAAAAAGGGGCATAATATGGATCATTATAATAACATTGATTTTCCAAAGTCCAAACCAAGGTTTTTCACACCCTGAAGGAAAAAAAAAATATTGAAACATGGTTTACAAGACACCAAATTCACATGGACTCTATTGAGATTTCCGAAAAGTTTGAATTGAGAACGAGATTTCATTTGCAATTATCTTTCTTGAATAATCTCTTGTTAAACGTCTTAATACAAATCCTGGATTTACATTGTGTTACATCACCAAGGTTTTTCACACCCTGAAGGAAAAAAAAATTTATTGAAACATGGTTTACAAGACACCAAATTCACATGGACTCTTCAGCTACGCAAATTTTGCATGAGAATTAGATCACAGTGTAGATAAGTGTGCACAGTATTTATAAAAATTTCCTAAATACAATTAGCACTCAATATTTTTTGTTTGTTTTGATATAAATTTCTTTTTTTGCTGATCAATATAAGGCTTGTTGTTGTTGTTTTTGTTGTTGCACTGATCAATGTAAGGCTTGTTGTTGTTGTACTGATCAATGTAGTAATGTCTTTATGCCTTTTTTTTATTTTCCCCTTTCTTTACTATTTTATCTTGTTACTAGCTTGGGAGGCTAATAAAGGCCTTGCTATGTAGAAATAAAACATCCACAAAAATAATTGAAACATTGGCTATACCAGTCTACCCTAATTTCATCTAACCCCTTCTCTTGATCTCTCCCTCGACATCTTTATTCTTATACCCTTTTCCCACAACTTCATACCATGTTAAGGATATAGGAGTTCTACAGACTGATTCATCAAGTCGTGCATCCCTTAATCGGATGTCAATGGGTTATGTAAATGTCTAGATGGAAAATATCCACCCAAAAAATAGTAAGATTACAAATAACGACGACAACAATGTAATATTGCCTGAATGGTCATTAAATTTCATCCAAAGAAGGCCGTTGGATAATTATATGTGACATGTTATCACATTTAAGCAAGCTTAACGCTTGTTTTCCAAAAGTTAGGCACTATGGCTGGAGATATGGGCCAATGGAACTTCTCACGTAAATCATATGATCAAATAGAAACCCAAAAAATTATGAAAGAGGTCTTCATGTTCAAACACATGCAGCAGAATCAATTTATGAGAAAATTACCTCAATAAAACGGAAGATGATTGCCCCTGAGAAAGAACAACATTTTGGCTTTTAGGAAATTGACAAAGAACTGTAAGATCCGTACAATTTTCTAGCTGCAATAAAAGCAAACAATAGTCTTGAAACAGTTACTCATAGATATTACATTATGGAAAAAAATCTTTATAAATGTGCATAATCATGTCACAAATTTGCCAATCACCGTGTCTCACAACAGACAAGTGAACATACAAAATTGAGTATAAAAAAGATGGAGGTAAACTTCAAAATAATTCCCCGATTATTCACAGATGGCCAATTTAGTCCCAAAATATCAAGTTTCTCCAATTTAATCCCTCGACTAATGTAAAACCTAAATTTGAACAGGTATGAGCTACTTTCTATTAAATTTAAAAATATCTCAAAATCTTAACATTCAAAAAATTCCACAAATTTAATGTCAGTATGTTCTAAACTTTGAATGAAGCAATTCGACATTGCGAAGAATTGGAAGTTAGCGAATTAAATGTGAGTTGAAAATTTTCCTACAGTTATAATTTATTTCACTATTTACAGATGGCCTGCATGCATTGTTTTAGAGGAAATTAATTAAGGAATTTCCGTTGCCTTTCGTATTCTTAGTGCATTTACTTCCCAACTGAACCCCAAGGTCTGCCATTCTCGGTTTTGTGCAGGCTGGAGAAAAATGAGAGGTGGGGGGTTTGAGGTGGAGGCTAGTGAAAGCTGGGAAAGGTATGTGCCTTGGGAGGAAATCTAGAGGAGCGGGAATTGGTGTGGTTTTGGGCTCAAGCCAAGGAGCTGCAAGGGGCATATCAGGTGGGTTTAGAATGGGACAAATGGATACTGAGCTGAAGTAGTCGGATTCCTGCTGTAGCTGGGTTGTGAATGCTTCTTTTTTTCTGTGGATTTGGGAGCTATCTGAGAGAAGGAATGTGCTGTTGGGCGGCTAGTTTCTTGATTTAAGGTGATGACAGGGAAGTTAAGGGGTGTGGGTTATTGCATTTTTCGTTGATGCCAAAGGTTAGGGTTGAAAGGAATTGGGGGTAGAAATGTGAGAGGTTAGTGAAATTAAGGGAAGGAGGAAAGAATAAGTAGAAGAAAAGAGGAGAAGAACATAAAGAGGTAAGAAGTAAGAAGTTATTATGTGCCTATAGGAAAAAAAATTGTATGATTTGTATAATTTAGGAAAGAGTTGATGGCAAGTGGGGACGGAGGGAGGGGCCACGGGGAGGCCGGCGGTGGGGGAATTAGGCGGCGGTGGGGGATGGGTTTTCAAGGCCGGCGGTTAAGGGGTTTGGAGGAAAGGCCTTAGGCCAGCGGATAGGTGACGAAGAAGAGGAAAAATTAGATAAAGAAGAAGAAGAATCACGAACCTGACCGTCTCCAAGGTTGGTGGGTGATCCAATTTCTCTCCCTAGAGATTTCTCTCCCAAGCACTCTCAAGTCTCGCCAAGAACTCAAGCAAAGACAATTTTTTTTTAATCATTCAATCATTAACTTGAAAAGAAGAACAATTGGGGTATAAATAGCCTCTTACAATGACTCACAACATAAAAGGACAACAATGTCTATATGGCTTACATACGACCTCCCTTGATAAAAGGGTACAACGGAAAACTAATAAAGCAAATACAATATGACATCATAAATAAGAAAACGTAAAAAATAAATCAAAAATACAATGACTCAATCGTGGTCGTAGATCGACAGCCACGTCTCTGATAGACCTTCCACGATCTGATGTCCCCATCAATGATATTAATGTAGCATTCTACATAGCTCTTATGGGTAGCAATATGTTCACCTACAACAACATCATGTCTTCATCCCACACGTGGGGTCGGCTACATGAATCCTTTTCTCCATTGTCCTGATAAGAGTCAAATCTCATTTAAATCTAACAAAGAAAGGCTTCTAATATTTTCTATCCAAGCCTTCTTAGGTCTATATATTTCTTAACTTAAGCTAAATCAAATACATCTACTCCCCTAACCAGATCATCAAAAGGCCAATGTTTTATGTGGGTGTACCCTCTAAGTCGACTCTCTCTAATCTTATCTACCACTGGAGCTACTCCAACCTTTTCACGTATATGCTTATTTCATATTTTGTTTCTAAGAGTAAAGCCACTCATCCACCTAAGCATCATTATCTCTGTAACTTAATTTTATACTTCTCTTTTAAAGGCCAGCATTCTGCGCCATAAAATATTGCAGGGATCACCACCATCTTATAGAATTTCCCTCTTAAGTTTGAGGGATACTTTTCTACCACACAACAGACTTGATGCATTCCTCCACTTCAACCATCCAACTTGAATTCTACAAATAAAATCCCAATCCATCGCTATCACTCTAAACAATTGACCAGAGATATCTAAAACATGCATTTTTATTAATGATTTGATTGCCCAAAGTCACAATCCCCTCACTAGATCTATTACTACTAAAACTACACTCCATGTATTTGGTTTTATATCTACTCAAATGAAAACCATCAGATTCTAAGGTTTACCTCCATAATTAAAGTTTTCATTCAACTCCCTCTCTAGTCTTATCAATAAGAAGAATATCAACATCAAAAAGCATACACCATGGAACATCCATCTGCAATAAAAGAATCTATTCCTTAAAGCCAATGATCTCGCCACAAGAAAGATCCTCAGACCCGATACAGATCTAACTTCTCAGAATTTAAGAACAACTACAATTATGTGACGATAGATTCAAAAAAAAAAATGTGACGATAGATTCGAGTCCAAGAAGCGTTCACTTCTAGCAGAATTTGAACGAGAAATGGAAGCCATCAAACGAAAGTATGATATTCTAATCCAAGAACCTGAAATACCGGATCTCCAAAATTTTGAAGCTTCCTCATCAGGAGATGAGTTTTTTTAAGTGGGGGAGAATTGATGTAGGCAAGCTTTGGGCTGCTTGCTACCTCTTGGTTTTTGTCCTTGGGCTACTTGTTGTTTCTCAGTTTGGGCCTTGGCTGCTCTCGGGTGGGCTTTGGATGCTTGGTTTTGAGCTGAAATTGTTGTGTTCTACTTAGTTTTTAGCTCATTAATGCTTGATCTAATGATACCTCATTAATTGACATGAATTTTAGTTCCTCCCCCTTGTCTCTTCCAATCCTTTTGTCTCTTTCCTTCCCCTTGTCTCCTCGGTTTTCTCCTGGCTGTTGTTGTTCCCGTGACTTCTCTTGGTTTTCCCCTGGGTGTTGTTGTTCCCGTGAAATGCTTGTTGGGGTTCCGCCACCTTTTTCCTGGCCTCCTCGGTTTCTGCTGGTCCCGCCCCTTATAAGCTAGATTGGGATGAATTTGGTCTGATTTTTGGGATGCCTTTTCAGCTGCTATTTGCTGCTGTTTGGAATGTCTTTTGGCCTTCCATTTCCAAGATTTATTGGGCTTATTTAATGATTGTGGTGGCTATTTGGCTGCCCTCTCAAGTCCTATATATATGTGATGTTTGGTGAATAAAAATATGATGATATAATGTGATTTTTGGGACAAAAACCTGAGAGGTTTTTTCTTCTTTCTTGGAAAAGTTTGCGAGCTTGTTCCAACCCTTCTCCTTCTTCTAGGAAAGCTTGCGAGCTTGTTCTCCTCCTTTTCGTCTCGGCTTCTAACCTACTTCTTCTATCCGCAAGTGACCACCCCACTTATATTCTTCTTCTCAATCAAGCAAAGAAGAGCTCCTTTAGGTGTTTAAGGTGTCTTTATGTTTTAAAAGTTTGCAAGTGTCGTTTGTAAGCGTCTTTTATATTATATTAGTTTGTTTTTGTCTAATTTGTCCATTTTGAGGCAATCTATGTAATTTTTTTATTATCTAGGAAGCATAACTTTTTGCTTGCAAAAATTTGGGAAGGTCCCAAATTTTTGCTTGCATCAAATTGGTATCAGAGCTTTGGTTGGTGTCTTCCTAGGTTTTGTGTCTTTTTAAGTCAAGATGGATAAACATCATGTGGAAAGCAATCAAGAAAGCTATCCATCTGCAATGAAAGAATCTATTCCTAAAAGTCAATGGATCTCGTCACAAGAAAGTTCTTCAGACCCGATACAGATCGAACTTCTCAGAATTTAAGAACAACTACAATTATGTGACGATAGATTCGAGTCCAAGAAGCATTCACTTCTAGCAAAATTTGAACGAGAAATGAAAGCCATCAAATGAAAGTATGATATTCTAATCCAAGAATCTGAAATACCGGATCACCAAAATTTTGAAGCTTCCTCATCAGAAGATGAGTTTTTTAAGTGGGGGAGAATTGATGTACGCAAGCTTTGGGTTGCTTGCTACCTCTTGGTTTTTGTCCTTGGGCTGCTTGCTGTTTCTCTGTTTGGGGTCTTGGCTGCTCTCGGGTAGGCTTTGGTTGCTTGGTTTTGAGCTGAAATTGTTGAGTTCTACTTAGTTTTTAGCTCATTAATGCTTGATCTAATGATACCTCATTAATTGGCATGAATTTTAGTTCTTCCCCCTTGTCTCTTCCTATCCTTATGTCTCTTCCCTTCCCCTTGTCTTCTCGGTTTTCTCCTGGTTGTTGTTGTTCCCATGACTTCTCCTCTTGGTTTTCCCCTGGCTGTTGTTGTTCCTGTGAAATGCTTGTTGGGGTTTCGCTTCCTTTTTCCTGGCCTCCTCGGTTTATGCTGGTCCCGCCCCTTGTAAGCTAGATTGGGATGAATTTGGCCTGATTTTTGGGATGCCTTTTCAACTGCTGTTTGTAAGTGTTTGGAATGTCTTTTGGCCTTTCATTTCCATGATTTATTGGGCTTATTTAATGATTATGGTGGTTGTTTGGCTGCCCTCTCAAGTCCTATATATATATATATATGTGTGTGTGTGATGTTTGGTGAATAAAAAGAAGATGATATAATTTGATTTTTGGGACAAAAACCTGAGATGAATTTGGCCAAATTTTTGCTTGCATCATTAATTCAAAGAACGGGTTAGGGACCCACCCTCCTATAGACCCTGACTAGAAATAGGTAAAGAACCTATCCCATTTCATCATACTGATTCGAAGTCACCTGGACAAATATAACTTCTGAGCCAAAGTTTGGCACATAAAGAATCTTGTAAGCCTGACATAAATTGAATAAAACATTAATGTGCATCCGACTGACTTATCAAACTCCAAAGGGCAACAAGTTTGGATAAAAGTATTTGGTCCAATAACTTGCCAGGTAGGGCTTGGACATAGAAATACAGATAGCCCAAACTGCCAAGTTCTATAAGCACTTGATGCCCAAAACAGGTGGAAAAAAGTGCCAAACAAGTGAATCTGGCATGTTTCATTGTAAATGCAATTTTGGATAAGCATTTTTCTCTACACCAAGGGAAAAGAAGAAATAACCTTGCAGCTGTTTGGAAAAATTAACGACCTTCGTACAGCATAAGGACCAGCTAAATCCAATTCTCCAATCAAAAATAGAAGTGCATCTAATGAAACCTCCGTTAATGACATATCCAACTGAAAATAATTGAAAGAAGAAAATCACTGTTAACCTCAAAAACAGCAACCATACAAAAAAAAAAACAAATAAATCAAATATTCAAGATAACCCTCACATGGCCCATCCTTAAAAAGAAATGAACTGGAATGCCATGCTGTCGAATTAATGATTCCACCTGGGTAATTCTTGAACGATAAAATAAAAAAAATTCCATAGGAGCAATAAATTCCCTCCTGCAGATCCAGTAGCTCAAAAATGTAAATATTATTTCAAAAATTTTGACTTCAACAACACATGTAGAAATAAAAAAGAAACAACCATGTTAATAGAAATAGAAGTGATGGTAGGATCCAACACACCAGATTTTCGTTCTAGCATCAAATTGGTGAAGAACAGCACTGAATGAACTTAGAACCCTTAGCTTGGTAGATAAAATCTGTCCAAGGAAAGCTATATTATCAAGGCAACACCGGAAGAGAGGGAGTTGATCATCTACATCAGAAACTTCATGAAAGATGGTCAAAGTTGCATCGTCAACACTAATGTTTACATGCGGCAGACTAGTCTGAAATCCAGATCTCTCTGCACTAGAACCGGATGATTTTTTATGCTCAATATAAGCATCATCAGAGAAGGGTTTCGAAAGGTGCCCAGCAATGCCTTTTTCTAGAGCATAACCATCAAAAAGCTTCACTTTGAGTTGATTCCCGGGCTTCTTAACAAATTCTGGCATTTCTTCAACAAAGGCAACAGCACAGTCGCTTTTCAGATTCACCATATGAAATGCCTTACGTGCAGTTGCATATGTTTTCAGATCATCATCGTCTTCAAAATGGCCAAAATCAGATTGGAAGGTTTGCCAAAGGGAAGATACATTGCCATCACTTCCAGAAATTCCGACAAATCCAGATCCAGGGTTGAAGTTCATGCACAATGGTTCACCTTTATTGTTCTTTGCATATAATGATATGAAGGACATGCACAGCATCCGTGACCCCCATCTCCTATGGTGCCTCACCTTAACAGGAGCAAAGACTGCATTTTTTTAGAGTGGTGCGTACAAACCACAAATCAACCTTTTCTTAAAATAATTTGGAATAAAAAAAGTCAAAATAAATGTATAAAAAATTAAAAAAAAAAAAGTTCCATTTAAAAAAACTTTTAAAACTAGAAAAATGCTTTATAATAACAGTAAAAACAATCTAGTATGTTGTAGATCGGAATGGTTAGAAGAAAGAGAGCTAAATTATACTAACATGCTAAATTGGCTGAATTTTTTTGCTTTGAAGCGACAGGTGAAACTACTGCACTATAAGTAAGACAAGATCAGGACTGCAATATGATTTTATCCATTTTTACTGGGGTTCAGTCAGATATTTTGGCATAAGTAGCATATCTGAATTATACTGCTCCATAACTTTTACAGCTCCTTTATTTGTAATGGTTTTTAATCTATATCCTTCTAATTTTTGTATGAAATAAGTTGAGAGAAATTCTGCTGAATAAGATCAATCTTAAATTACATAATTTTATTTTTAAAAAATCTTATTTAATGCAGAGGAATGCTCTCCATAATGTCAAAGACAAGATAAAACAGCTTAAACAACGAAATAAACAGGAAACAAAAGCGGACTCGATTTATCCTTTTTGTTTAGCTTCTCTACAGTAGAAATGTGGGAGAGCTAAACTTAAATAAACTTATATGCAAGAATAAGTTTTTCAAGAGAAAAAAAAAACAATTTTAAGAAATATTTTTAAAATTATATATATATATAAGGAATTGGGCGAACAGTCCTCATTGATAAGAATAAACAAAATACAAAGTCAATGATGAATTAAAAAGATCATAATATGAAGGAGTTCAATGTGAACTTATTAAAAAAATCAATCTAGAGGACAAAATTAAATATCCTTTCAAAAAGCAACAAAGTTTTAAAATCTTTTGAGTGAATGTGCCCCATATCCAGCTCGTCAAACCTCCCCACATGTAACAAGCTGATCACACAAGAAAAGTCCCACCCCTCTTGTGAACCTCCTCGATCTGCAAGTCAAGGAAATACAAGTAGTTTACCAAGTGGTAGATTTTATTTTTATAAAACATATTTTTCTCTAATGTTGTGTCCGGATTTATTTAGATATGAGATCAATGTTGCCTATGAAAGCAAGTCTCCATAGTTAATTACCAACTTCAAAGATATAAGAAAATCATATAACTTCGTGTACATGCAAACATTCAAAAAAATCCCCCCCCCCCCCCCTCTTTTTAGGATTTTTATTTTATTTTATTTTGTGTAATTAAGCTTTATACTATTTTTCATATGTAACACCTATGGAGGAGAGTAGGAGACTATATATACGTCCAGCATTGTATAGTAAACAAGCAATACAATTCAAAGTAACTTTTATATATTTCTATTTTTCTAAACATACCTTAAAAAGAGCTCTTTCTCCTACAAGAAAATAATGAAGAGTGCCCACCATATGGAACTTATTATCCACATGCTCAACAGCAAAGTACATGTGTTGTTGAAGATCCTGAATTGCGACAATAGCACCTGCACAAAACACAAGCAGATAACTCCCGTGTTATCAAAATAAGTTTGTCATTGAACACCAAAGCACGCCATCACAATTACCATCTGGAATTTTATAATCTGAATCGGCGCCCCATCCAGAGTTCCTTGAGGAAACATCTTGCTTGATGCTGCCATTAGCATCAGCCGGGAATATCTCGGAAAAGAGAGAATACAAATATAAAAATATCTGCGCCAAAAATACGAATTAGATAGCCAAAAATACGAATTAGATAAACTAGAGGTAAATCTACCACTCTGCAGACCCTAGGAAATGCAGAAATGGTAATTTCCTTATTGCTCCTAAAAACACAAATGCAGTTGAATGGATAAGCTGCAAATTTTGACTCTAATGTCATTTTCATCGAGTGCTTAACATAAATATGAGCATGCATCTTCCGATACATAAAATTTTCAGTGTAATACAACGCAATAAAACTTTGTAAGAAATATTTTTTGGTTACTCATTATTGCAGTATGTCAATAAAAGGCTCAGAGGATGGGCCTTTTCGTGCTCCGCCTTTTCATACTCGTTAGTAAGTTGGGCTTGCATTTATTGGAGATAAGATGTGTCTCCAAAATGACAACTTATTCTCATATACACCATCATAATAAACCAATGACGATTTGACAATTGAAGGCACAAACTTAAGAAGTTCAAAGCATAGCCCAATACGCAAAAATCAAAGAATATACAAAACAAAGCGCAAGCCATGGAACTAATGAAGCAAAATCTTGTACTCCAAATCATTTTTCATTCAGTTGTGTGATATTGTAGTCCAGTTGTCAAGATTTTGAAAATTATTCAAAATAAATATTAGTCACTTTTTGTGGCAAGGCATTATCGAACATAATCCTGCCGGTTATTTCGCATCAATCGGTGCTTTGGAGTGTTTCAAGTTAATATTGACCTCGTCATCAATCGGTGCTTTGGAGTGTTTCAAGTTAATATTGACCTCGTTAAGCCTTTAAATTTATGGTTTATCAACTTTGATCATACTTGAATATAATTATTGAATGCCTTGAGAAGGATCCACGCACACCCTTTTACAGACTCCATTTTCTTTTTAATTTCAAGCAAAATTTTATAACAAGAAAATGATGGGAGTCTTGAAAAAGCAATTAATTAGAATTATCAGAGAACAAAGAAAAATACATAGAACAAAATAAAGATATCATGGAGAACAAGTATAACTGAATTGTCTAGCTTGAAGTACGGTGATAAACGAAGTAGTGGCAATAATTTTTTTCTTAATGCATCCTCATGTAGTGAATAGGACATGAAAACTCTTATTCACCAACCTGCCGTCACTAAGAATATTCCCATCTGAATCAAGAGGATGTAGTGAATTATGAGCTTCTATGCCTTCACAATTAGGAGAGAGAAACTTTCAAAGGAAGAGAATCAATATCCAAAATGACAACAGCCATGGCAATAGCAGCAGGAATTTGTAAACCACAAAACTGAAGTTTTTCTCTTTATCAACTGCTTTATGATTTTAAATGTTGGAAATTGAAAGGGCTTGGCTGAATTGAAGCCTTGATGGGTGTTAAAACCTGAAAGCAATTCTTAAGAGGATATTAAATATCAATTATATTGTTGCAATGATAATTAGATTTTATTGGTATCATTTCTTTGTAAATAATCTTTGATAACATAATAATTACAGTAATTGGAATATGAATTTTTTTATTTTAAAATTCAACAAAATTATCTTCAGTTAAAATAGGATTTATCTTGCACTTTATAAGCAAAATATGTGATGTCTGAATTTCAATGAGATACCTAGTTGGGTTTGGCTGTTTTGTGGTTAAAGTGAAGATTGACCGTATGATTAAAGCCAACTCAAAAATGGTATCAAGATGGTTCGAAAAAAATAATCCAACTCAAGCTGGCTTGTCCAGCAATATAATTAAATTTTAAGGTTAGCCACCATGGCTCAAACAGAAATTTTATTTCAATTTTGATTCGGTTCAGATAATTAAAATTAACAATAAAGCTGGCCGGTTGAAACTCGACTACTCATAATGCTTTTCTAATGTAACACTCAAAAATTTTTAAAAAAAATGAAAGTTTCTCCTAAAAAAATTTTTACCCCATTTTTTCATATCCCGAAATTCATTAAAATCATTTATATTAAATTCCACGTTCAGTTTCCATCATTTTGAATGTTAGAAGAATTTCAATCTCAAATATCAGGAGCAAATAATCATAAAGACTTTATGATTGTCAAATTCTATAATTTTATTGAATTGTAAGTAATTATTTCTTCGTATTAAACATAACATGATTTTAACAAATCGTATGGATTTCTGCAGGATCAACTATTTAAGGATATTCAAGATATTTTTAATTAAGAATACCTGAAGAACTTCAAGCTTGTAAGCATAATTCATTTGGGAAATTTTGCATATTTGATGGACTTTTGTTTAGACTTTAGAGAAAATAAGTTGTGTTCCAAATTGTTCTCTAAGAAAATTATTGGTTAGGGAATCACATAGTGGAGGGTTAATGGGATATTTGGGGTAGCAAAAACTTTAACTGTCAAAAAATTAGGCACATATAAAGTGGGATGTAAAATGTATTTGTAGTAGGTATGTTCCTTGAAGACAAGTCAAATCAAGAATGCATCCTCATGGGTTATATATGCCATTACAGATTCCTAAAGAACCATAGGTGGATATATCAATGGACTTTGTATTAGGTTTACCTCAAACTACAAATGGGAAAGATTCAATCTTTGTAATAGTTGATAAACTTTCTAAAATGATGTGTTTCATTCACAAAACTGGTAATGCTTCAAATATTGCCAATTTGTTTTTTAGAGAAATTGTGAGGTTACAATGGAATGCCTAGAACCAATGTATCGGACAGGGTTGTCAGATTTTTAAGTTATTTTTGGAAAATTTTATGATGCAAATTAGGTACTAAACTATTATTTTCTACCACCTGTCATCCACAAACTTATTGTCAAACTGAAGTTTTAAATAGAGAGTTATCTACTTTGTTGAGAGCTATCATTAGAAAGAATATTAAAACTTAGGAAGAATGCTTGCCACATTTTTAGTTTGCACTATTCATTCTGTCACTAAGTTTTCACCTTTTGAAATTGTGTATGGTTTTAATCCCTTAACTCCATTAGATTTATCTCCATTGCTTGTGACTGAACATGTTAGTTTAGATGGTAAAAAGAAAGCAGACTTTTTGAAGCGTATTCATGAGAAGACAAGAATTAATATTAAGCAACAAATCAAATAGTATGCTAAGCAAACCAACAAAGGTCGTATCAAATTACTCTTTGGAGCCAGGAGATTGAGTCTGGTTACATAAAAGAAAGGAAAGATTTCAAAATCAGAGAAGATCTACTTCCATGAGGAGATCGACCATTTCAGTTTTAGAACGCATCAATGACAGCCCCTACAAGCTCAAATTGCTAGGCGTGTATGAAGTTAAATGTTACTTTTAATATTTCTAATTTAAGATGTTTTGATGCAGGTCACGATTTGAGGGCAAATGCTTCCTAAGAGAAAGGGAAAATTACATATAAAGCAAACGGTCAAGAAGGTCCTATTCAAATAACCATTGGAGAACTTACATGCGCGCAAAATCAAGAAGGCGTAGAAAGCATTAGTGGGCTGCTTTACCAACTTTGGGCCCCCGAGAACCTAAAGAGGCCCATAAATAAGAGCCTAGTCGAATCACCAAGCATCGATCTCCTCCAAGTGCTTGATGAGTTGCTTTAATAGAATGACCTTTTATTATTATTATGGTGGTTCTTTTGTATTTCTAGATTTTGGGAGTTATGATGGACTTTTATGTTAATTGTAAATCTGCCTATTTAAGGCCCTGGAAATAAGAATAGATCAGTTTTTTTTTTAGTTGGTTAATTCAACTAAAATGTTTTTCTATAAATCTTAGCGCTTGATGCCCACATTGGGCCGCCTAGGATTTATCTTGGTGTTTCCAAGAGTTTCGGTCTTCTCTTCAGGTCTCATACGAGACTTCAGTCTCCTCTAGCCGCCGAAAGCTTTATCTTGGATTCTCCAAGAGGCACAGACTTCCCTTCTAGATCCCCGCCGAGCTTACAATCTCCATCAAGATCTCTTTGTTGAAACATCATCTGCTCGGAGGTGCATGACCCAAAGTCGAGGCTGATTGTTCATCTTCCATTACTCTGCAAAGTCAGCTTCAAAAGTCCTTCAACTTTCAAGTACTCTACACGAGTCAAAGCCTTTCTATCCCGAGCATTTCCAAGCCTAATTCGCAGCTTGTCCCGAAACTACGGATAAGATCGTATCACATAGGCTGCTAGATGTGATTAATTTATTTTTGCTTATTTCCTTCTCCTATCTAGCCATAATTGCATTCCAAATATAATGTAAGGATTATCCTAGAAGATTATATAGTTACCGTGAACATCAATATGAAAGCAATTCCCTGGTTTACTACTGTGAATGTCATTTCCTGCACACGGCTGATTTCACTTTCCTTATTGATGTAGAACGGGAAAAGGAATTGATAGGGAGAGAATCTCCTCTCCAAAAATCTGACAGCAAGCCTAGGTGAGGCCCAAACTTCCTCTCCTATATTCTGAAAACAATTTCAGAATTTTCAACAAAGCATTCTGAGAGGAGTTCTCAGGTGTGAGAGGGAAAGAGAATGGCAAAATAGCTTCAGGTCTTTTTTTCTTTTAATTCAAAACCTGAGAGAAAATTCAGGTTTCAAGGTCTTCGGAGAAAGGTGTTGGAGGTGGGAACATAAGGCTTCACATTCAGGTGAAGAACTATTGGCTGAGAAACGTGTGGAGCTTTCTCTAAAGAGGCTTAGTAATAAATTAGGAAATAAATCCTAATTATCATTACAGGGGCAGGTGGTTTCCCAAAGCCAGCAAGGAGGTTTAAATAATTCCTAATTCCTTTAATTGGATTAGGGAGCAATTTAAGGATTAAAGTTAAGAGGAATTCGGTCGGGTGAGGTTTCAAATTGTTTCCAAAGAGGTGGAGAGCGATTTAGGAAATAATTTGATTAATCCAGGAATTGATTTCAGAACTCACGGGATTGAGAGGGAAGTGGGGAATTTAATTTCCAAAGTCCAACCAGATTTTAGGGAAGAAATTAAGAGGTGGGGCTTGAGGAAAATTCGGCCAAGCAAGAGGATATTAAGGCTCATTGATTTGCATTTAGGAATTAATGAGGAGATTTAATTTTCTCAGATTTTGAATTTAAAATTCAAATAAATTTTGTGAATTTAAAATTCAAAATAGAGCGAGCCTTGGACTCTTCCGAAGACTGACGGGTGATGCTTTGCCCTTCTCCAAGGGACTTCAATTCACGAGCTCGGACCCATCCTGCGGCTGGTGAAAACCTCTCCGATTCCTCCCATAGGAATCTCACTAATGCTCTCTCACAAGAACACAAGTGTGGACACAAATTTTTAATTTCAATTCTTCATCCCCATTACAATAGCTTAAGGCCCTATATATAGGCCACAACATGAGAAATAAAATCAAAATTATAAAATTGCCCCTTGGTCCACAACACTCACATAAACTATCCTAGGGGTAAAACTGGAAATACATCAAATAAGAATTAAAATGCAGAAAATAACTCATAATTGAAAATTTAAATAATGGTCATCGATTTACGACGCCGCCTGTGATAGATGCGCCAAATCTTCGTACCGATGTCCGCATCACTTATCCTATGAGGTATCATATCGCATATATACTTCATCACTAAAGCTTCATAAATAAATCTACGTATCGCTTTGACTAGAGATCCCAATAGTCAAAATTTAAAAACCGGTTTGCCCATCATCTAGTGACAACCTGACTCCAAGGAGAAACTGTGGACCAGTTGATTTGATTGTTAAGGAATTAAGAAGTTTCTAATCAAGAGAGAGTTGTTTAGGATGGTTCTTAATCAAAGAGAATTAATTAGGAGATATTTTCTAATTGAAGATTTGGGGGCTGATTTGGGGTCTAATTTGGAGGGGATAATTAGGAAATATTTCCTAATTGAATAGGGCTGATATGGGTGTTTATTTGGAGGGGATTAATAAGGAAATGTTTCCTAATTAAATAGGGCATATTCGGGGGCTGATTTGGTGGCTGATTTGGAGGGGGTTAATTAAGAAATGTTTTCTAATTCAAGATGATAGATTTAGGTGTTGATTTGAGAGCTGATTTGGGAGGGAAATAATCAAGGAAATGGGAGGGAATTGGGGGAGGGCTGTTTGGGTATTTACTGTTTATTATTTGTTTTAAATAGGTGGTCTTCCTAGGGTTAGGACATCTTGAATTTGACTGAATTTGATATCTCTTAGGTTTAGGTTTTTGGGCTTTAGCGGCGTCTAGAGATTTCGGAGAGATAGATCCTCCTCTCGAATAGAGGATCAATTGTATCTTGGTATCTTCTTTCCGTTCTATTTGATTTCTTGTAATAAAATTACTGTTTTTGTTGTTTTCCATTGAAGTTGTGGACTGTTTTTGCTATTTTATCAATAGTGTTAGGATTTACTTGAAATCTTCAAGTACTTTCTAACAGAAACTACAGTTTTCTGCTCCAGTGGGCAATGTGAACCAAAAAACTTGAATGAAGTTTTAGAACTGCAGGAGGGAAATATAAGTAGCTGAAGAGCAGCATAATCATATTTATCCAGTGTTTCACTAAAGAGCAGCTAAGATGAGTAAGGATATGAACACAGACAAGTTACATAAAGCAAAGACAATCTTCTTCCTCAAGGTAAATATTAAAAGAAAAAGGGAACTCGCTAAAATTGTTATCATCTCAAAAGATTAGAATAACAAGAGACAAACTACTTTATTCTAAATATCAAGATGTCATAAATAAGGAAGGATTTAGTTAAAATGTTCTTACAACAAAGTGACTGAAATATCAATAAGTAAATTATTTCATTTCAAATACATCAAGATGCGATACACAATTTGGACATAAGTATGTAAGAAAACAAATCAGATAACTAACCTTAATTTCAGATAATTTTATCATCAAATTCAAGCCAGAGATAGAACCCTTTCCAGCCCAGTTACTATAGAATTCCGCAAGAAGCTTATCACATTCCAAATCAACTATCTCAACTGTAGCAGAACCAACTAGATGCTTTAAGATGAAATGTCTATGATAAAAAGGATGAGATGTGTCATTGTTTGCTTCAATATCAAAAATTGGATGTGGCATAGAAGGTCCAGAAGAAATATAATCTGAACCTTGTGGGCTATTTTTTTCAGATGAAGCTTCACTGGCTGAAGCAATTGAAGTTCTGGAGCAGAAATGCTGTATCTGCACCTCCCCATTTTCATTTAGCATGGTTTTATGAAGGTGCTGTGTGGAAACTGACAAGCGGTGCAGGTTCACTACAATCTTTCTTCCAAAACTAACGAGCCTTAGAAGTACATCAACTTCAATAACGAGTTCTTCGGTTTTACCTTTAAAAAGGACAAATAGTACATAAGCATAATGAATAGATGGAATCAAGAAAACATTAGATATAAAAACTACAGACCAGAACACCCTGTAACAGCAAGGATAACTGAAGACTGAGTTAGATGTATGGAAAGAAAATCAAGAAAGCTCCATCGCATAGGATTTTGTATTTCTGAAGATGAAGTTGATAACGCAGAGTTTATAACTTGCTCATTCCTAGATGGTGAACCTGGTGACACCAAATTATCTGCAGAAACCCTGGAGATGGATGATTCTCTTGATGTATTAACCATTCTTAATGGAAAGCTTGCAATCAACAGCAAATACACTTGAAAACAGTGGAGCAACTTAGTTAAAGCTAATGCTTCAAGAAAGATAAAGCCACCCTGACATACGTTACATTGGATCACATTAGTTAGCAACTACAAAGTATTGAATATGAAGTAAATGGAAGATAGTGTTCCCAATTTGGAGTATGGGTTATAAAATTGATGATGAAAACGACAGTTCTAAAATTTCACACTTGCAATAGCATAAGGAAATCACAAAGTTATAAGGAAAAATGAAAATGGAGAAAAGTAAATACATTAATGTCATCTCATTGAAACCACATAAATCAAGGTAGGCATAATACAATAAGCGGACCTTCATCTCTACTTTGAAATGAGACCAAATATTAACAATTTAACAATAAAATTGCAGTACCTTTATCTTGCAAACAATTTTATGAAGGCCTTCACCAGAAAATATCAACATTTTAAACCTGGACGGTTGATTTTCTCTCTTAAATAGGACTGTGTCATGATACTCTGACACAATTATATCACCAAGTTCAGCAACAACTACAAATGAGTAAACTGAAGCTGGTCCATGAGTATTTGTAGCTTGCAAATTACCAAACTCATACATAAGATCAGCATCATCAAGGATGCTTGGCATTCCATCCTTGCAATGAGACTCTTCAATTTCATATGAAGTCTGACAATTTGTGGAATCAAGGCTATGTATCGCATTGCTAGGATTGGAACAACCTATAATACCACAGTGAAAACTAGCATGCAACTTTAACCTACAATGAGCAAGATGAAACCGATAACTCTGTTTCAAAGAAAGTATGTCCTTCATCTGAATCATGTCATTAGATATTTTCATAATACAATGAAGATCAAGTAGAATTGTCTGAAGTCCTGATAGATCAATAAACACGTCACAAGTATCTGCTTCCAAAGAAAGTTTCAAGCAAGATTTTTGAATAGAGAATCCTAGTCCAACACCAAGTAAATTAGGCAAATCCAAACCTCTCGTCTCCTTATTTAAGTACAAGCTCAAATTGGACCTGCTACAATGGGAAAGATCATCATATTTTGAAGTCCTTGTATTTTGGGCTTTCCTTAATTCACCTAAAATAATGTCCATAGATTCAAGCTCAAAAGTTGCACTAATTAAAAGAACACTACTGTGGAGATTTGAGCCATAATCAATTGCGACTGAGCGAAAATCATCCCTTGATTTTCTAACAAGATCTTGCAAACTCCCAAGACCATCTGAAGCAATATTATTATATGAAAAAGCCACCTCCAAAAGCATGCCTTCAAAACTCTGAAACAAATCAAGTTCATAATAGATTAAAATATCCAAGTTAGGTTAATCCAACTTAACTGAAAAAAATGACTAAGTTTATTATTAAAAAATTTAAGAAACCACGTGCATAGCATGTTTATTTTTTAAATAAAAAACAATAGGCTACCTTGAGTAAAATGGAAAGTTGATCCAAGCATATAATTGAAATAAATGATCAAAATGATTCCCAACTAGATGAGAGTTCAGTTTAATCTCAAACTTTTCTAATTCTCCAATTTAGACAATCAGCTAATCAAAACTTGAATATTTTGGTCTTTCAACACGACTATTTTGATATTTCACTTGATTTTGACAAGTTTAGCATAATACCCTAATTTCTTCAATTCAAATATATCTCAAAATACTTTCACAAAAATCATCAAAAACGTGTCATTGTGTTCTAATTGTTAAATGTATTAAATTAAATATAGAAGTATATGCTAATTTGCAAAAGTGTGAAAGTTATTAAATTAAATCCCGTTTAAATAAATTTCCTAAAATTAAAATTCACTTTACTGTTCCATTATACACATCATTGTTGCACAGGCAGTTTTATTGAAGGAATTGGGTACTTTCAGCAGCATGCATGTAGTGGAGTAGAGGGGCACTTGAGGGAATTTCATATGTAAACATATTTAATCTAGATTGCATTCCCTAAATAAACTTATTTTCACCCATAAGCTATCGGTTTGGAGGGCATTCTCACAGGCAGGAGAATTTAAGGTGGGAGTTGGGTGTAGCCAAAGGTGAGGGGAAAATCGGGTAAGCAAAAAAAATTAGGGAAGAAGAAAAGAAGTAGAAGAAGGAAGAAAAAGAGAAGAAAGAAGAGATACGACAGGAGAAAGAAGAAAAAAGGGTAAGAATTTGGTATTTGTGTAAAATATTCATTTTGAGTAAATGATGTTTTTTTGTTTAAAGTTTTAATCAAATCTAATTCAAAGTATATTAGGAGAGGAATATTCTAGACATATATGAAGAGAGGAAATGATGAGGTATATCATTTTGAGAATAACTCTAATGTTGATATTTAATGCAGATTGAAATTTGCGGGAAGTATCAACTTAAGAAATTAGGCTCATATGGGTGACATATATGCGCGGGAGAGTATGTGGTATCAAATTAGGGAGATAGCTCATCGCAGAGATAAGAGATGCGATCTTTTAATTCAAGAAGTGAGTTATTAGGCTTTTTGCACGTACAATTGCACTCAAATTAAAGTTAAGTATGAAATGCATAGAAATTCTTGCTATTGTTGAATGTATATCCACAAATTAGTATCCATGTGCAAACGACCATGTATAGATTTTAATGATTCAAGTTTAAAATTATGTAAAAATTTTGCTAATTGATAATATTTTTAAAAAAGCAAACACATATGCTATTGGCAATCACCTTTGTTATACATGCACGAAAATTACATGTCTATTTTAAATAATGCATAACATGTTTAATTACAAGTTAAAGAAAATGCAGTGAACAGTATCTAATAAACCTAAGAAAACGTGTTAGATGATAGGGAGGTGAGGCACTGCAATCCCGATGAGCATTGTAGGGCAGGCAATGCAAACTCAGTATGATGAAGCCTAGAGGCTATGGAGTCAATACGACCTCATTATACTAAAGCCTATGGGATAAAGATGACCTTAACTTAGACATATTGATATGACACATTCTTAAGCTATAGATATGAAATTTGAAGGAAAAGATGTGTAATTAGATGAACCATCTATGTGACTAAATTCAGGATAAATGTTTAAAACAACTAACAATATATTATTTACTCAGTATTATCGTGTTTGGCATTCTGTCTTGTTGATTCAAGCGAGATATTAATGTTACATAGTTTTTATTTTTATATACAGCTCACCACTATATTAATTTATACAATTGTATATTCAAACAAGACTATCTCTCAAATCTTCTGTAAATAGAATAAAAAAATGTAGCATTACTGCAAAATAATAAGTAGTTGGACGATAGGGCATGGCAGAAAGTGTTTCAATACAGCAGTCAGTATGTCTGTCTAACACACCGTCATTCTAGCATGCACCTTTAAACCTGATATCCTAGGATTGAAATCTCTCATTTGCTGTCATCATTCTAACTCTTAGCTCTCCAAAAAAAAAAAAACAACAATAAAATATAATCAAGAAATTCATAAAATCACAAGCATAGCATTCATTGTTCCATAGCTTATATCCAAAAAATTAAGACAAGCCTCAAAAAGATAACACTGTAAAAAAGTAAAAAAATATTAAACTTAGTGGAAAATGATCGTTCAAACAAGACATACGTTTGGTGCAACAATGTGGTTAATAAGTTATTTTATGACATATTTGTGAGTTTCGTTTTAGGAAATTTCTAACTTTCCATTCAGTTTTGTTTGGGCTTATCTATTTAAAAATAGTCATCTAGTCTTTATTTTATTTTGTAATTATCTTTAGGGGTCTTTTTCTTTATAAATAGGAACTTAGGGATTATGATATAATCAATATAGGATATTAGCTATATTTCCTCCACTTAGGGGTGTCTATCTAGCTCAATGCCGGAACCATTCAAGTTTGACTTGTTTGTTAACTAATAGGCCATGAAGGCAAATATAAACTTGATTCATCAACTAACATAACATAAGTTGGGCTTCAATCATTTAGGTTCAAGTAGATCGTTTATTATAACATTCACAAACTGATCAAGTTGTAGTGTTTGAGGGGCTTAAGTAACTTGATGCATGGAACGCTTCAGTTAAAATCCACTTTAAATTGTTTTTGTATTTTTAGTCTTCATATCTTAAATGAGTTCAAGTCCACCTTTATAAGTTATTCACGAGTCAATTACAAACAAATCAAACAGTAAGACATTACCAATTAGGAAAAAATAACATTTATGACAAACAAAATAGTAATAGAAATGGAAGCGTTAGTAAAAAGGTGTTATCAACCTTATAAAGTGTCCTTGTTATACAAGAGAAGTCAGGAAAAAAAAAAAAGTTATTCCCAATGTATGGAGCTTCCACCAATGCAGGGTCTCTGTTAAGAAAGAACTGTAATACTTGTTTCAGTAGCTAACCAAAGAACTATGCAAAGAGCATCACAATGCAGATCTCATTTAGCAAGATACAAAAATGGAAACATAACAATATAGAATTAGAAATGGAAAAAGGCTTCAGTTGAGACTAAGCAAAAACCGTCACCTGAAATAAAGTTCTGAGCTCATCCATGTAAAATAATACACCGATACTGGATGATATTAAAGAAAGAGCTACAGAAACAACATCAGTTGTCCCATAGAAGGTATGGTGATAGTTTCTGAAAAAATAATATCAGATATTAGAAAGATATTAGAATAAACAGAAGCACTTAAGTACAAAATGAAAGCATTGATTTTCTTATCAGAATCAATTTGACTGCGTGCAAATATGCTCATTTAATCATACATTTACCTCATTACATATGTTAGCACCATAATTAAATCTTTAAACAATAGACTCATGTGTTGAATATGAGCATATCATTAAGAGCACAACATCATAAAACTAACAGCGTGTATCAGTCTTTCCATACCACTTTAAAATCCAGCAATTCATCATTCCAACATAGACAATCAAAGAACCAAAAAAACAGAACTGGTTTCAGAGAAAGTATAAATAAAGTTATCCTAGGAAAACACTTACTAAGTGAAAGTGATGTGAAACATATATGAAAACAAGAATTGCTTTGGAAATTAATAAGAATTTGAAAAACTTTGCTAATTGTAAATCTTATGTTTCATCAAGTTAGATTCCGAATTTTCAATTGGAAATTATGTAATAGCATACAATTACAAACGATATTAAAAGGATACTTACAAATAACAACAAAATAAATAAGTAAAACTAGCGGCAATGAATAACAAAAATCCACGGCTTAACAATAAGAAATGTTTACCTTGAGTTCCCTGACTCTTGCTCCTGAAAGTGGTGTTTAGCGGAGAAAGATTAAAAGTAACCCTAGTGATGCCACCACGAGATAAGTGACGCTTAAGGTATTGTTTGCCGGAGAAGTATCCGGAGGAGGGGAAGTTGATGGACATCCGATGATGTGCCAATGTACAATTGGTCGTTGTTTGTTGATCGTCTCGGCAAGAATAAAGAGTATGCGATTTGTGTAGTCTTCAACGAAGTCCTCGAATTCCCAGTCGGGATCAAAGAAGGGCAATTAAACGATGTCGACAAATCCGTGGTCGACTTCAGGATCGGCCATCCATGAACATGGGAGTATTCGTGGTTTTGAACCTTGGAGGAGCCGTCGGTGAACAAAGGGAGTAGAAATGAGGGGCGGCGGATTGGGGTTCTCGGGTGGAGGAGGGATCGACTAGGGTTAAGAGGGGTTAGGGTTTCGGGTGGAGAGGGAGGTGACGGTTGGGTTAGGAGGGTTTGGATTCTTTTAATTACCAAGAAAAGGTAATTAATTAAATGAGTTAATGGAGGGAGGGAAATTAGAATTCAATTCAAATTCCAATTGGGCCAAGGGAGGGGCTGGCGACATATATGAGAAAGGAAGGGATTGGAGGGTAATTTAATGCTTTCTAATTCATGATATTAAATTAGGAATCAATTCAAGGGATCAAATCTAATTTGAATTTAAATTAGATCTTAATTGAGGTGATTTCCTAATTTAGATGAGTTAATTTATGAAAGTATTTGAGAATTGAAATTTGAATTTCAAATAGGATTAGTCTTTCCAAATCAACTTAGCTAATTTAGGCAAGCAATAATAATGATTGAATTAATCATCAAGGGGATCCAAAGAGGGGGGCCGGCGGCTAGGGTTCGATTGGGTGAAGGTGGGTTGGGTTTGGGAGGGTAGACCGGCACTATGGTGGGAGAAGGGAGAGGGGTCGACGGGTAAGGAGGAAGGGGAGGTCGGGTGTGGCTGGCGGGTGGATTCCAGGGAGGTTAGGGTCGGCGGCTTGGCACAAGGGGGAGGGATGGCTATGGCTGGCGGCTTCAACAAGGGAGAGGTTGGACCACGAGCCCGGAGCACCTCTGCGACTGGCGGGTATTGCTTTGCCCACACTTGGGACCTCACCACTCAAGAACTCACAAGCTAGAGAGAAAGAAATTCTGAAATTTTATTAAGTAATCATCATCCTCATACAAAGCAAAAGACCTCTATATATAAGCCTCAATAATAAAGAAAAGAAGAAAGACTCAAATGCCCTCGGGGCTACAATAAGAACTCACTACCCATATGGGTAAAATAAAAAAACTGAAATGCAAAGTAAACAAAACATAAAATACATCAAAAGTAAAGGCTTCGAATCATAACCGTCGATCTACGATTCTGTCGATGGCACACATGTCGAAATCTCTGGCTGATGTCCTCATCAGTGTGAGGGCCGGCAGCTTAAGGGAGAAAGAGGAGGGGAGGAGGGGCTTGGCCGGCGGGTTGGAAGGAGTTCGGCCGGTGGGAGATGGGGAAGGAGAAGAGGAGAAAGAAAGGAGAAGGTAACCATGAGCCAGGACGCTTCCTACGACTGGTGGGTGATTGGATTCCCTCACCTAGGGATTTCAATCTCTCCAAGAACTCTCAAGCAAAAAATATAAATAAATTAAAGAAATTAATATGGGAATCAATTTTCTTGCAGCGAATATCCTATATAAATAAATTTATCTGAGGTTTTTGATATTAGATCTTAAATATATTTAGAAGTTAAATTAAAATTAAGAATTTATTTGATTTTGATGAAATTATTTCCAATAAATGTTTAAACTGGCTATTCACAAAAGCAAAAAATATGTCTCGCTACGTTGAAATAGTATAGATTCCAAATAATGAGAGACTATTTAAGAGGTAAGTACAACTTCCAAATGAAATACTGCAGCATTAAATGAATGTATTGAGTTATACCTGCAAATTGAGGCCTTGGTTGTAATTGAAATCGGTTCAACAATATGTGAGTGCTTAGTCAACACAAAATCAGATGAAACATTGACCACATTTGTCCTTAGGCAAGCATTCAATGAGATGCGCGCATGTGAAATAAATTTATCATCTGTATTTTCTTCCTGATGAGCATCCAAATTTTGTAGCTCCACCAACCAAAGATACTCCGAAGGTACTTCTACAAAAAAAGTTTCTGCAGTCATTGCAGATAATACAGATTTAGAAGCAGGCCAGATGACAAATTCTGTATTCCCTATATCAATTTTAAGCCAATGGAAGCTATTCCCTTGGGAAATTACAGGACTGATATCTTTTTCTATGTAACCTAAAAATACCTCTTCAAGTGATACTCGAACACTAAGGCCTGCACTGACTGCTCCAACATGAATGTTCTTATCGGGAATCATGTTAAGAACAGCATCAACGATTTTGTTTGCATAGAATTCTACCTCATTTTCCATGTTAATTCTAGATTTATCTAAAAGAACGCTTGAAGGGCATGATATGGCGGGTGTGATCCCAGCTCTAGTTGTCCATTGAGAGTGATCCTCCAGCTGTCTAAACATAAGAGCAGCTGATAGAATAGATGAATAATCCAAATCAAGGTTCATTTTCCCGATATTAAGGCTGTATTTCAACAGTCCACAAGCTCCATCCTTGACATAGGGATCTATAAGGAAGTACTTCAGTCCACACAATAGAAATGCCTCTCCCTTATGCAGGTCATTTGCTTCATGTTTCCCTCTAATTTCATTCCAGTATGACAACAGGTCTCTAAAATCATTCTCCAAAATAACACAAAAGTGCTTCAAAGAATCATCATTACATATTACTTGAGGAGGATATAATGAATCAGGGTCACCCCAAAGGATGACCTTTGACTCATCAATAATACCCTCAGGATAACCTGCTCTAGAAGAACGGTTTTTCTTGATTGTCAAATCATGGTCCAGTAGAATTTGCAACGAATCGGCAAGACAAAGTTTAATTTCCCCGAGAGCTGCTAAAAAAGATATTATAGTCTCATCCGTTTTGGAAAATAAGCACAGCTGCCTTAAAGTGAGATAAAACGAAGGCAAGTTCTGCTTTTCCTCCCTTTTTACATTTTTAGTGACAGGAAAATGAACATAAGTTGAATGAGAGAACGAAATAAAGACTTCTTCAAAGCTGAAGCAAGAAGAATGAATGCTTCCAAGTGTTTTTGGCCTGACAAAATTGAAATTTAAAGCAAAATACAACACTGCTTGAAAAATGAAGCAGATCACTTTCCAGAGAAGCCAAAAAGGTGCTAGAATATTTCTTAGTAATGTGCTGAAAAAACACATGGGTTTTTTGAGATCAGTTGAGACATGAAATCTCTTATATCGTGCTATTCGTCGTGCTTGAACCACCATTTGTGCAGGCAATTTTTCTTCAAGATGAAAAATTAAACCCAATTGATGTTTAGCTTGAATAATCAGCTTTCTGTCCATGGAATGCTTGCCTGCAGTTTCTTTCAAATATACTTCAGCTAAACTTCCAACCAAAGTTAGTAAACAACTATAAGCATGAACATAGCGTGACCATAACACCACCATCTTAGCTATATTTTGCACAGAAGACCTCGCCCCTAATGTTAAATGACCAATTCTATTTGCAGCAATCCTCCACAGTTCCTTTCCAGTCCTGAAGACACCATGTTTTTTAGAAGAAAATGCATCTACTATCAACAGAAGCAGAGGAATAACTTCCGGTGAAAGTTTAACCACTAATGATGGAACATGTATGTAGTTGCTCAAAGGATGAAACCCAATCAGTTTGAAATGAGCAGATAGGCCCAACAAGGATGCTATCCACTTTATCCGCTCATTCTCCTTCACGCCAAATTTCATATTGCTGCAGCTTATAGATAATTCATTCATTTTTCCATGCACAAGCAATGAATCAAGAGATTTTCTGAACAATGAAGTACTGTGAAGACACTGAGAGTCAATAGAAAATTCATCCAACTCCAATAGGCATGCATGTGACTTCTCTAACAGTTGAAGTTCTAGACAAAAATCCTGGAACTTTATCTGAGAACAGCTAGCAATAATATTTGCCCATGAGGTCTTAAGTCGATCACCTGGAGTATCTCGTGCTAGAAGTCTTTCAATTGCATCATGCAGAGAAGCACCCTAAATCAGTAAGATAAACCATTTTTGAGTGACTGAGCTAAAAGTAAATGGACTACGTATGAATGCAATGATTTTGTCAAGAATTTGCACAACTTTTGATTAGAACAATAATGAAGAAAACTATTAGCAATTAAAACAACGAAATAAAACGTAAAAGGGGTCACGCCCGCTTAGGCTAAGTCACATAACTAGAAATTTCAAACTTAAAAATAAATTAGAAAACAACATTATGCCGGAGTAGTAGTTTCAATAAGAATCTCAAGTCTGACAGTGAGATTAGTCAGCACATGAATACACCCAAAACCCTACGTTTACTAAGCTTAGCAGAAGCAGGCTATGGTCGGCCTTCGTGACTACAATCAATACCACGAGAAAAGTTAGATTCAAGAAATAAGAGAAAAAGGAAGCGTAGGAAACCTTCGTCAAGGATCGGTTGCGATCCTCCACTCAACGATCTCCAATTACTCCTCGATGGCTTCCACCAAGGTATCCAAGATCTGATCGATATAATCTTTCACCGTGTGGTCGACCCTCAGGTTGACGTCGAAGAAGTTTGAATGTAAGATGCACACAAACCTGTGTTCGTCGTAGGTTAGGCCGTATTCAATTTTCGGATCGGCCATGCATGGATGCTTGATGACGAAAGTCCTCGCAACGATTACTAGCACTCTTGACTATTGTTGAAGAGATTGAATTTTCTCGTCAACGGGACGTAGAGAAGAGGCCAAGAATGAGTTAGTTTCCTTCCAAAATCTGAAATTAAATTTCAGGTTTAGAAAATCAAAGGATGGAACTTCAAGAGGGAAAATCCAATCCTTAAATTTCGGTGGGGAGTTAAGTGGAGAGAGGGAGATTTGAGAGAGAGAGGGGACGGGTATGGAGAGAGAGGCCGGCGGCAATGATGAGGGGATTAGGGAATTTGTTTCCACATTGTAAGATTTGATTTTTGGAAAGAAATAAGGAGGTGTAGGAGCTTTGGAAATTTCAGCTAGGAAAGGAAAAGGGAAATTTGAATTTATTCCCAAAGTAGGAGTTGGTTTTAGGAAATATTTCCTATCCCAAACCTAAGAGGGGGGCCGGCGGCATTTATAGGGGGAAAGGGCTTCAATCAAGTGTTAATGCTTACTTAATTTGAGTTTGAGAATTAGGAAAGTATTTAATTAAATCCAATTTGAATATGAAATTCAAATTGATTTAATTTGGAAACTTTCCTAAAATAACCTTGGTAATTTAGGAAAGATTTTAAAGTTCAAATTGTTTGAATTTGAAATCAAAATCTGTCCCAAATTGTACCAATCCAAATTAGACAAGGGAAAGCAATGAAGGAGGGGAGCTAGGGCCGGCGGGTTGAAGGGTTTCGGGCAAGGGGTCGGCGGCTAGGTGAGGGGGGATTATGTGGAGCTTGGGGGAGGGAAGGGGAAGGGCTTGGGGAATTTGGATGGTGGGGAGGTGAAGGGAGAATAGGTGGCCGACAACAAGGATTGGGAGGGCCTTGGCCGGCGGCTAGGAGGTGGAATATGGGGTTGATGAAAAAAAATGAAGATAAGAAACCACGAAGCCGGCCGTCTCCAAGGTTGGTGGGTGGTGCGCTTCCCTCTCCAAGGGATCTCTCTCCAAACCTCTCTCGCTCTTGCAAGAAATCAAAACGTAGGAAATTTTTTCATTCAATCATTCATTACCCTCAAACAACAAAACAATGGGCTATAAATAGCCTAGTACATGAAATAGAAAGACAAAAATGCCCTCGGGGTTTACATACGACATCCCTTTACTAGAAGGGTACAACGGGAAATAAAAAATAACATAAAATAAACAAAATACAACAACACATAATTAAAACAATACATGACATAAATCAAAAGTACAATGACTCGATCGTGGTCGTAGATCAGCGGCCACGCCTCTTCCAAGATCAGATGTCCCCATCAGTAAACATATGAGGGATGGTGATGAGGACATCCGACAGACCGACAGTGGAAGGTTTATCAGAGACGGGGCCGGAGATTGACAGTCACGATTGCATCCCTTTATTTCTGAGTTATTATTTGTATTTATTATTGTATTGTTTCTGAATTTACCCTCACTTGAGGGAGTAGGTTCTTGTGACCCATTAGGGGCACTTTTATCTTTTGATGTTTACTATTGTACTTGGTTATTTATACCCCTTTTATCTTCTTGAGAGGAGATGGTGATCATTATGAAATTATTTTCTCCACTTGTGTCTTGGTGAGTCTTGAGAGAGTTGAAGTCCCTAGGTGAGGGCAATGTATCACCCGTAACCGCATGAAGCGTTCGGGCTCACGGTCCATCTCCTCCTTCCACCCCAAATCCCAGGCCACCCCTCTTTTCCATCCAAGTCGCAGGCCATCTTCCCAACTCCCCGTTTATTCCCTCTTTCTCCCTTTCATTTTAGAAAAATTAAAATCAAGTTCCTGAATTATCTCCTCCCTTAAATCTGAATTTAATTACAGATTTTTTCCTCCTTGATTCAAATACAAGTTCTACAACTAAATCCTCCCTTTCCCTCCTCTATGGCCGGTCCCTACCTCCACCCCTCCACTTTGAATTAGCCTCCCTAACCTCCCTCCTACCTGTATATCGATTATTACAGGTTTTCTCCTTCACCAAGATTGTTGTCCTGAATCCGAAAATCATCCTAGTTGATGTTCAGAATTTCCTACACGCAATAGTTTGCTTCCTAGCTTGTTGTCCAAAGTTTCCAACATGTGACAGCTTGTTGTCTCGCCGTCCAGACTCCAGAGCTAGTCTAGTTCACTATTCTGATTCGGGGAACTGTTCAATCATCCAAACAGCCAGAATTGTTGTGCTGCTGGTCTGCTGCCTAAAGCATGTGAGAAGGCTTGTGTAGTCATTTCTCCGCATAAGCAACCAAACGCATTTGCCAGAGCTTCGAATCTTCTTCCTTATTGGTAAACTCTTTCCCTTCCTTGTACCTTTTAAAACCTCTTAAATTGTGGCATCATAATGATTGTGTAAACTTTCTCCGCAAGCCAATTTATTAAGAGTGTGAGTGAGTGGACCCAACTAGTGACTAGTCTAAATGTTAATTTAGGGATTTCCTTTGAAAATCCCCCATTTATGCTAATCTTAATTGAATTGGTTAATGATATGATTCTAAACGATTATCGTGTAATTTGGCCTAAGTTACATCATCCCTCTTATTGTATTTAATCTCCGTTTAATTCGCTAAAGTTAGAATAATTATTGTTGCTCTAATATAAGGCGTTTAATTTCAAACATTGAATATTTACAAACGCATCTAGTTCTACATAAGATGGATGTTGAAGCAGCCTGGAATCAGTAAGATAAGCATACTATTCTAGTGTCAGGGGTAACTCGATGTACCTTGGAGCTAAGTATAAACGCTTTTCAACTAATCAATATGTGTGGAATGCAATTCAATTTTTTTAAAACAACTATTTCTAAGAACACTGTTCATAGAAAGTCAAAAACTAAATATCTATGTCTAACATGGTCAAAAGTAGGTTAAAACAATTTGGCATCGAACAAAAAATTTAAAGATAATTATTAAATAAAAAAATTCAAATTAATTTTCACCTTTACTCTTAAAAAAAAGAGCATACTACATAGTTTAATGGATGTAATTTGATAATTATTAGCCAATATTGTTGGAAAATCAGGTGATGCCTAGTTCTATTGTAACATATAAAAAATTAAGTTAAAAAAAAAGTGATAACTAGATATAATAGGTTCAAGCATCTTGGAATTATAAACAAGAATGTGATGATTGATGATGACATATCTTTTAGATTTAAAGTTGGATGGTTAAAATGAATAAGTACCACAGAAATATCATACCATTTTATAAGGAAATATCATGGAGACTAGGAGAAGAATATTTAAAACCAAATATCATCTTGGTTATGCTGTATAGATTTGTATGTTGAACAATAAAAAAGCCAATGATGGCTAGGTTGTGTGTGGCATAATTGAGAATTGCAAGATGCGTCTTTGCAAAAACTAAGTAAGATATAACAACAACATCATCATCAAAAAAGCTCTAAATGTAAGCCTCGAGGCATTTGTCACTAGAATTGCGCTAAGGCGGACCTCAAGGCGAGCTTCATATTGTCATATGGAGTTCATGCACGTATACAAAAGTTGCTGTCATATGATACCAAAGTTGTGATGAGCATAAGCTATTATTTTCAATTATTCTTTAGTTGGTGTACATCATTGCTTCAATCATTAATGATCTTGTAAGCACTTATTTATCCTTAGTTATCAAGTTGTCATTTGCCCAGCTGTTTTCATGGCCGTCTGGCTCAAGGTTGAGAATGTTCATATCACTATTTTTAAACAGACAAGAACTATAAGGATTTTTTGGCCTTCGATATGTCTCCATCAGAGGGTTGTAGAAGAATCATATGTTGGAGAGATCATTAAAGGTATCTTTGGTTAGTCGTGTTTTGTTTCCTAATGTGTGGTGTATTATCATTTAGGTAGAGGTATGGCGAGATCTATGTTGGAGTGAAACGCAATGAAGTCTCCATGAGAAGTTCCTATTGAATTTAAAAATAATCATTGCTTTTGCTACCAATTACAAGCAAATCTAAAATCATTAAAACCTTTCACAGCCTACTACCCAAAGCTCGTTACAAAGGTCAAAAAGCATCTTTCAAGTGATGCACTGATTGCTGCATACCAGGATTCATCAATTGGTGAATTTCAAGTTCACTAATATCGTCCTAAGAGAAAATGCAGCAGTTGGCCTTTGTTTTTTTTAAGAATGGTGACTTCTACAAAAATATAACTTCTAAAACTTTAACTTGTTTGATCTGCAAAACTCATTGAAACAATATGGATAACAGTAAACAAGCACCTTTCTTGCAGTAACAGTGTTAATGAAACAGATCGTGTGTTCTTATTACAGAACAATATTATGGTGTGAATGTGAAGTCATATAGCACGAACACGCTCAGATACCTCGGAATCAAGAAAGGCGATCGTCTCTTTCTTCTTGCTTGCTGCTGAATCTCTGTGGGTGTCTTGCAGTTTACTTGTCACCCTTTATATTGAATGAAAAATAACACATCAGTTTCTCACATCTCAAAACCCTAATGCTAGCCTCATCAGAGAGAAGAGAGAAATTTAAGAACGAATCAGACCTATGTGCTAAGGTTACATGAAGCCCCCGCACTTCCACGACGATGGAGGGACTGGTCCAAGGACGAACTCGCACACTGAGTTCCCCCACTTCCACACGCTTGAACTCCAAGAAAGTAGAACCTTCGATTAGAGGGTTCAGGGCCGAGGGTTCGAACTTTAGCTTCTTCGCACAGCCTTGCGATGCTAGAAGGCCCAGCTCTATCTCCAACTCTGGTTCTTCGACTAGCCATGGTCTGAGGCGTGAAACAAAATTGGACCGCACGAAGTTGGAGACAAACATACTGAACATTGCTGATTATAGTTTAAACGTTCCAGATATTGAGCAAACAGATCGAACTTCCCCCCGCCATTTGCAGGGTGGAGCAGCGAGAAGTTCCGAGGAGGATAACGATGCGAAGATTTTCCAGGGACATCTCGAACAACAAATAAAATATATTACACAGCTAACCTTGAACTGTTGGTTGAGAGTTTATGCTTTCAACTAAGAGGTCATGAATTCGAGTTTTTGTGTATGCGTGATTTGTATGAATTTGACTTAAATGACCTAAATGTCCAAAAAAACAAATAAAATATATTCTTTAAAATTATGGATGCCTGATAACGTTGAATTTATATGACAAAATTTAAAGAAAATTTTCTCCACCGTTTCATGCAATTACACGCATATATTATATCATGATCTTATATTTAATAGATGCAAAATATGTTTAGCATTATTGTAAGTCATCAGCCAACCATATATTGATGTTCATGTAATTAGGAGAAATTATTAGACGGGGAGTCCGGACACAGAGATGTGTTTGGATTCTAATTAAATGTTGACACATGATGTTTACATGTGAATATTTAATTGGATTTATTTTTTATTTGTATATTTAATGTGTACTCATAACTTTAAATCAAGCGCATCAAAAGCGCAGTCAAAGTGCGAGTAAAACGCAATCAAAGTGCAGTAAAAAATGCAACAAATAATCAGTAAAAGAGTATGTAAAGCGCAAGTAAAACACAAATAAAATTTCCAACAAATTATTTTCCTAGAAGTTCATTTATAAGTACTTAAGAACTATTAATAATTAATTTCTGTTAATTAATCAATAGCCTAATACTAATTAATATCTTAAATTAACCGTTTCACTAATCAAAGTAGGCAACAGTGAATAGGAGTTGAGTGGAGGCATATTATCTCTTCCCATGCTACAGGTAAAGGAAAAATTATTAGGTTCGGACATTGGACCTAAAAATAGGTTCGGATATTCAATTAAAATTTGTCACGTGGATTGCACTTTTTGACTGCGTTTTAACTACGATTTACCTGCACTTTTACCTGCGTTTTACCAGCACTTTACATGAGCTTTTGGCGTGTTTGACTTAAAATTCCGCATACACGTGTACATTCCGCATGTCAATATTTTATTGGACACCGGACGTATTCTACCTCCGGTGTCCGGACCTAAAAATTTTCCCAGGCGGGGAGAGAGAGAGTGCTCTCAGCAAATGCATGCAAATCTAGGAAGGGAGGCGGATGTGTGAAGTTAAGGTGGAGTTGATCACTGGATTGCAATTAGTCAAATTGAAGGAGCATGAGTTCGACTACAGGAAAGTGATCGGCACAGTGCAGCACAGTCAACGAAAAAAGTAAACTGTTTGGCATTGTGTGTGTAAACAATTTCTGCGAGAGAACAGCAGTTGTGGGAGATCTGTAACATTGAGGAGAATTGTTTCTGGGTAGAGTAAGAAGCAGAACGAGTTTTACTGTCGTGAGTGAAGTGTGACCAATTCAGTGGAAGAAGAGAAGGAAGGAGAAAGAAATATAGGGAAGAAGAATATGAGGATTCATCTGGTATATGCAGAAGAGATGTTACGAGGTAAATGGTTATGTTAGTATAATTTGATGTTATGTAATTTATTGACTATAATTAATAGAAGTCATGGAAAATTTAGAGTCGATTTGTATAGGTTATTTACAAACAAAAAAGGGTATAAAAAGTCGAATTTGAGAAGATGAGTTGTCAAGGAGGTAAGATATGTCATTCTAAATTTTCAAAACAATTATTATTAATCTAGATAATTACAATGTTACTTGACTCAATTGAAGGAATAAATATGTAAAATTTAAATTAGTGAATATGAACATATATCAAAGTATTCATGTACAAGCAACTACATATCCATATGAATAATTAAAAATTGTAATAAGATAATATATGATTGTTTAAAACTTTTCCTAGTTGGTAATATTTTGAAAAGAAATTCAATTCATTATATATTGCATATACGATCTTTTTTATGCAGACAAGTATAACAGATAGATTTAAAAAAAAAAAAAAAACAGATAGATTTTTATGAAAGCATGCAACAATACAAAGCAAGTATGAATTACTAATATTTGAAGTCTACTGAATATCAAAATAGAAAAGGTTGACCATGAAATGACATGATACCTACGTTGTAGGTGGGGCAAAAGAGGGCCCAAATATGATACATGCGTAGCAGGTGAGGCAAAATCAACTCCTAAAGAGGCAAAAGACTTCTATGTAGCTCAATGACAAAAATGTCCGGTTACTTAGGCTCCATTGAACATTATTATGAAAGTTAACCATATGAAAATGAGAGTTAAATCCTTAAAAGACTAATTATTATATTTTGTACATACTTCAAATGAATCAAAGGATTATCATAAATATGATTTTTATGTTGTTTTGCAATTATTTTTGAGTTTATTCAATTATGTTATTCACTATAATCTTGCATTTAATTTTTATTTTAATTGCATAACTTTATGAGCATCATAGCTCACCCGTTTTTTTTTAATGGATGTTGTTACAAGAAAACGCAAGAATAAAGTTGAGACTGATTAGGCAAGTTATAGAATATTTAGGGTTTTTTAGTAATATTTGTGATTTTTTCTTTTGAGTTATGCAAGCTGTCTAAATGTGATGATGTATTATGATTTTCTTAATGGCTCTATAAGTAGTTGGATGATGTAATTGAGATTATTAGATGCTTATGTTTACTCAATAAATGCATTCGTTGATAGATGTTTTTATATAAGCATGCAAATTATGAGAGATATTAAATATAGAAAATGAATGTTATATTAATTATGTGATATACTACGTTACTGGTGAGGGGAATCAGGGAGTGTTATCAAATTTGACTTTCTTAGTTGCTCTTAGACTCTCTCGATCCAAATTTGTTATTCTTTCCAAAAAAATTCACCACCAAATCTCTTCCTACAAGCAGCCCATCGTTGTTGAGTAGATGTCATGTTATTCTTAATCAAACGAGCTCTCTCCACAATCTGAGAGAAGTCGAATTATGAAATGGAACCAATAACTTCCTCAAATTGTCTCACAATCATCTTAAAAATCTGTAGCACTTCTCCTTTGGAGTGTTAACCAACTACATAGCATATATGGCTAAAGCAGTAAACTTCGTCTCAAACTATATAACTATCATGCTATACTAACCAATCTTATAAAGTTTTATGCATATACTAACATGCAGAAGGTGGTACAACTCAGACTTAGAATGAAAAAAAAAAAAAAAATCTTCTTAACTAATCAGAATGTTTAATCTCCCCTAAAACTTCTCCTCTTACTGGTCCATCCATCAGAGCTCAACCTTTCCACTAAAGGAAAAACGTCGATTACCGGCGGTTATGATCGACGGTTATATAACCGCCGGTAATACCGACGGTTTGTCGGCGGTGTGGCCGCCGGTGGATTACTAGCGGCCTAACCAGGGGTTTTGTAATGTTAAGCCGTCGGCAATAGCGACGGTCCTGTAACCGCCGGCTAAACCGCCGGATGTCAATTTTACCGGCGGTGTACCGGCGACGAATACCGCCGTTGATAAGTGATGCCAATACCAGCGGTCAGGATCGTCGGAACACCGCCGGTAAATGCCCTTAAATTAACAAGCCCGAGCCTCGCATTTCATTCATATTCTTTCCTTCTCTCTATTCAGATGAGCTCTGCCGTCGCCTCCGCCCACCTCCCGCTCGATCGAGCGCACTGTCTTGCCGACGACGACCTCTCCGACCGCCGATGAACTCTCTCCGACCGCCGATGAACTCTCTACGACCAACGACCCCAAACCGGCCGCCTATCGCGCGATCAAGTTCTGATATCTTGCCGTAATCGATCTCACACCGGCTGCCCTAGTTTTCATGTGATTTGAAGAAAAATCATGATTTGAAGGTAATCTTTAATGTTTTTCTGTGATTATTTGTTCTTACTAGGCATTTACAAGAAATTGTAATTTATTGTATGATTTTGATAGTAATCTAGACATATGCAAGAGGTAATCTTGTAATCGTTTGAGTAGATCAAAATTTCCATTTATTAAGTGTAAATTTAGTAATGATAGATCTAATGGGCTGATTGTGACTTTGGGTTAGAGCAAGATAGCAAGAGAGGGAGAGGGAGAGAGAAAAAAGAGGGAGAGAGAAAAGAGAGAGAGAGGGGGAGAGAGAGAGAGAGAGAACAAGAGAGATAGATAGTGAGAGAGCAAGAGCGAGAGCTAGAAAGAGGTAGAGAGATATAGAGAGAGAAAGAGAGCAAGCAAGTTTTAGAGAGAGCAAGAGAGAGGGAGAGTGAGAGAGAGGGAGAAAAGTGAGAGAGAGCGAAAAGGGAGAGATAGGAAAAAGAGAGAGGGAGAGAGGAAAAAAAGAGAGATAGATAGAGAGAGCAAGAGAGAGTTAGAAAGAGGGATAGAGATATAGAGAGAGAAAGAGAGCAAGCGTTGTAGAGATGAGGATGCTCAGGTGGATGAGTGAGTTCACTCATAGGAATAAAATGCGAAACGATAATATATGTGAAAAGTTTGGAGTAGCTCCTGTGGTACATAAGATTAGAGAGAGTTGCCTTAGATGATTTGGTCGCATAAAACATCAACCTTTATAATGTCCCAGTTAGAATAGCATATATGTTACATTTGATTATAAAGTTTATGTTGATGATTATAGGCATCAATAAAAAGACTTGATTATAAAGTATTAAAAATGAACTTTTACGTTGATGTAAACGAGAATCTTACTCTTAACAATGCACAATGAAGAAAAAGAATTCATGTAACTAACCCCACGTAGAGGGATAAAGAATTAATGTTGTTGTTGCTGATAGTTAGACCTGTCAATTTCGGGTTACGGGACGAACCCGACCCGACCTGACCCGTAAGTGACCCGGATTTATTCGGGTTCGGGTCAACCCAACCCGGTTTTATAAACGGGTCAGTTTTAGAAAAAAAGAATTCATGTAACTAACCCCACGTAGAGGGATAAAGAATTGATGTTGTTGTTGTTGATAGTTAATGTAGATGGTTAGTTTGTATTGATGATTATCCTGTAGCCAATATTTGGGTTTGATTATCCTGTTAGTGTTGACCTCATTTTTGTATGAGGCACTTGGACCAATCC